GTAAACAAGGATTAGTGTGACAGGATAACTAAGTTTGTCATCTGGTATAATGGTTTTATTATTTATAGAAGAATTGTGTCTTGAACGCAGCATGGCCACATATTTACACTATTCTTTCATGTCATGAGAAAATATATTCTATATTTGTCGATTTTACACTATTCCCTTTCCTCTGGACATATAATTATTATTCATTTGTTGTTGCTACTTTTTAATAATGATAAGGATGGTGTAAAAGAGTGGATAACTAGAATTTAAAGTCATTAGGAGAAGCTCTAGGAAATCTTGCAGGGAAAGCTGCAGCTACACTTCATGGTATATTAAGAAGTATTGTATCCTGGCTCTAGACTTTATTCGCTGAGAATGCTACTTAGCTTAGTCAAAACTATTTATCCAAATCCTGAATAAACCTGCCGCATTTCCATCAACTCTTAAGTGTTGTTTTCTGATCGATATGTTGTTGATTTTGAGTAACAATATGTGGTGTTTGTTCAATTACTGAACGTGGTTCAGATGTTACTTCTGTGTTTGGCTAAATTACAGCAGATGGCTGTGGTTTGACTATTACTGTCTCACCCGTGCTTGGGTGAGTTATTAAGACAGTGTTAATATCTGAATTGATACCTAGTGTTTGTTTATCAGTAGTAATTACAATTTTATTATTATAACCTACCACTTGAACAATCTTAAGTTCCATGTTACTCGGTGTCATATACAGACCTGTCCCAAAAACATAGTCTACTTTACCACCAGCATACTGGTAAAGCATCTTGATATGGGTTGTTGGCCGAAGGTGGATCAACAGGTGACGAAATAGCATCCTCTACGTTTCAGCAAACTGCTTTTGTGCAACAAATGCTGCGAATCCACCAATGATGTTTGTACGTGTTTGCGCCTGAGCCCCAACAACAGCCCATACATAAGTTCTGACTGAGTCATTAAGTCTTTCAATACCGGGGTGAGTAATAACTTCTGATTTATTTAAAATGAATTCCAAGCTTTTTCAGCATCTTGTGGTTGCTCAACCTGTTGAACAGCGAATACAACTCCACCCTCAAAGTTTACATGATCATCTCTCCACTCGTTACTCGAGAGAGCAATGTCCTATCGAAGCCAACCACCTTTCAATAAACTATTGCTGACTTCTTGAACAGAGCGTGTGCCACTGTATGGGATACCAAGACCATGATTAACTCCATGCAGACGCCAATCTAAATGTGTTGAAATAGCAATTTCACCACACATATGTTCATATGCCCGCTGATTGTATTGATTATTTGATGGATTCCATCCTGTGGTAATGGTTGACTTATATATGAACTATATGATCGTTTATGATACTGTCTTATAGACTACATGAACACACATGTTAAGTAGTTATATGAAGGTGATTTCATAAACATCATTTTATCCACAGCTTATTCTGTTCAGTTAGTTTTATTCAAACGGAAATGTTCATGCATCAATGTTTTATGAAGTTATGTACAAACTTAGATTTGTACCCTTGGTAAATGCATATAGCTGTACATCTTCCGTATTTGCAAACAGACTAAACGATTACTTGTTACACTGAAGCAGATGACATCTTTACTACCTTTGCGTTACAAAAGAAACTGAGCATATTCTATCCCAGTAGATGGAGAAGAGGATAATCCCATTGTTGTTTGGTCAGTTAAGAGAACTGTTACATGAGAATCATTTGCCAGACATTCTCATTCACAACAAACCAAACACGAATTTACATATTATATTTACCAAATAATGCAGCCATTATATATGATAAATACGTCATTTAGAAGTGAGGCGCTCTAACAGAACAGAACTTTGGTTAATGAAGACATGAGTCAACAATCTACGTCTTGTTTTATTAGATGTAGAACACAAAAACACAAATATTGGTATTCGTCACCGATGTCTTTTAAACCACATAAAGTGCATATTATTTTATTATGTAGGATACATTGCCACCAGCCTACTCTAATTGGCATATAAAAGTCAGCCAAGCATCATCTACGTAGATTATAGTTCCATCGATCGCGACGTCGATGTTACTTTCATCTACGTAGATGATATATTTTCTTAGACCGTGGCCCTAATACGCTTCCTCAAGGTAGCAAACATGTATGAGATAAATATATCAAATCAATACATTGCATACTTGATATGCGCGTTTTAGTGCTGACATTGATATAATTTTGTTGATATGACTCATGTCATTTGAATTGTTAGTGCTGTAAATAAACATATGAGTAACACTTTGTGGTGTTCTTTCCTTACTCCTTACTTGCTGACAAATGGGTGTCCACTTAAACCGTAGGTAACAGGCATGGTATTAGTAATGAATCAACCATTACTAAAAGTGTCTAACAAGTGGGATGTCTGACAGATGAGAGGACGCCAAATTTACGGGTCACCCAAATTCTCCACCAAAACTACATCATAGAATTCTAAGTCGACAGTCTTGGTGTTTTCGTTTGCTGGTTAGCTTTTACGGGTCAAAAGCAAAGTTAATCGCATAACTTTCGTGACGCATTTTAGGCCTGTCATACAGTTCCTGAAACAAATATATCCAATACAGCCGATGCAAATCAATCATATTTGGCAAGACTAGATTACTGCAGTTATATATTATATTAATATAATTAAACAATTGTTTTTATTTTTGTAAAATATGTTCATTTCAGAAACTAGATGTTAGTCTAGCCAGCGGTCTAAACTCGCATTAATTTGGTTACACGTTTCATGATTTACAGTATTCGTGAAAAATATATTTAAACAATTAGCCACAATTAGACCCTTTGGTAGGAGTAGAGGGAATGAAAAGCATAGACTTGCTAAGTATTTTATGATATTCATGCTAGCTCAAAAGAAACTTTGATTTATGTTTGTAGTACACCCCAAAAAGAGGGATTACACAAGTGATATATTAAGATGACATACAACTTATACGTGTATAAACTACTATCAAACAGTGAGGATAACAGGTGTTTGCAAAAAGGTGAGCGTATCCTGCACCACCGGTAGAACAAACACATGCAAAGGCAAGTTATTTGTTAAACCCGAAAAACACGGAAACAGAGAATTTCATCGGACATAACTCCATTTGCTATTTCTGTGGTAGTCACCAATCAACTCATTTATACTTCCAAAAATAGCTTTAACCCTTTTAAAGCTTTTGAGAAATTCAAAAGTATGGGTATGGTCTGACGAAGCAAGAAGCACAAATGGGGCATGTTTCGGCCAATGATTAGAGTATTCTTGCAAGTCTAAGGGTCCAACAGGAGTTATTTCTGCGACATGCTATTTCAAAACCCAAAATTCAGAGTGATATTTATGAAAAGAAAAATTGAAATAATACAAATATAAATTCCTTCCAGGTGAAGGCTATCACTTGAAATCAAAATAACAAAGCAGATTTTAGTCAAAGACACATCTCTTGGGGTAGAAGTTCATTTCCGTCACCATTTTATGGTATTTCTGGAAAGGAAAATTAACTTACAAAGTTGTAATATACATGAAGGGCTTAATGTTGCTGATTAAGAGCAAAGATATAAACTCTCACTGACTGCTCAGTAACATTCATGTAATATTAGTAATATTCAAATAAGTGTACTTGTTCTTGGTGTGTGTGACGTGGATACATATACATAAACGTATAGAAGAAACGTCAACAAACTTGTAACTATGTATAAAATAATAAATAAGCAATGTCCTTCATAATTATGTAACTGATCTTATACCACCAGCTGTGTCACAGAAGGTCAATTATAATCTCAGAACCGCCATGATTTTGTAGTTCCATTTGCACGGACATCTACGTTTAAAAGATCTTATATTATAGAAACATTAGGCCAATGGAATAATCTATCATCAGGAATCAGGGATAGTCCGTCAATATCTTATTTTAAAGCTGTTGCATCTGAGCAGCCTACATCACCACCTATGCACTATAATTGCGGTAAGAGGTCTACAAACATATTGCACACTAGATTGAGACAGAATTGTAGCACACTAAATTCCAACGTGTTTCGTGTTAATTTATCTGATACTATTTCCTGTAAATGCGGAGCTCCTTGTGGAAATTCAGTCCATTTCTTCTTCGAATGTACCTTATATGATGACTTTAGGGAGACATTACTGACAGCTATCGATAATCTTGGAGGACTAAAAACTCTACATAGTATTCTTTTTGGTGATCCAAACTTAGATGTTTTCCTGAATACAAAACTATTCTTGTCTGTACACAAAATTATAGAAACGACTGACAGATTCAGTAGCTAGCATATTATTGTTTCCAAACAGATAATCATTAATATTGTTAAATCTATATACAACACTAACATGTATAATATTAGCATATGTATGAGATGCACACTGTCTTCAATTTCCAGCACATTGTACATATCCTTCATATGAGCACTGTATATATATTGCGCACTATGTTTCCACAATGTGATGCTTCAACTGTAAATTGTTCATTTTCATTATGCAATATTATGCATAACTGTATATAGGGAGAAGGCGGTAATAAGTGCTGCACTTGTACCCAATCCCTTTGTCTTTTTGGACAATACAATATGTTTAAAAATAATAATAAGCAACCAATGTATTATGATCAGGGTCCATTGGTATCCCTTCAGCAAGTGCGAATCAGGTCCTAACATATCTGTTTTGTCATGTATCACGCGCAATACAGTCGAACCTCGCTTATCCGGATAATTGCTTTTTCTAAAATGTTGTCCGGATAAACGAGTTTCTGGATATCTGAATACCTTGTTAACTGACCAGAAGTCCTTCCCTTACCTCAATTCTACCGAGGCATATGTGAAATGAATGGCAAAAATATGATTTACGAAGGCTCGACCAATTACTAATAAAATACATTGTGCTGTACAGACCTACGCAGCATGTTCTGACAGCGCACTGCATTATCGAAACGGCTGAAGAAATGCATATATAGCCTAGTTTAGACTATGCACTTGTTTTGTGTACAGATACGACGGCAAGGTTAGGGCAACCTGACACACATGAGCTCTGCGTTCATCACAGTTTGTGACGGATTAAGGATACGAACGAACTAACACTTGTTTGGCAGGTAGGTTTTGTTAAGATTTGTTATCTTGTTCTCTCTCTACCCTCTACTTCCTTAATCGCAATTTAAATCCTAAATAGACTTTCGGGCCTAACACTGTGACAATTTTAGACCCTCTGTTTCTGTACTTACTTGAGCTCATTTCCCCTAATGTTTACATCATCTCATACGATTAAGTTATCAATGATGTCAAAGCTGTCTGACATATTTCTTATGAACAGTTTATGAAGCTAAACAATGTCCAAGTGACTTAAACACAAAAATACGCGCTATCCATTTGATCGACGTTTGTATCTAATTTTTGGGGAGAGGAGGTGCTAACTACTACTTAAAAACAGAGATCATATTAGATTACTAATGAGATGGTGATAAGGCTCAGGTTATGAAACAATCTGAACTCACAGTTTTGACTTACTACACAATACACTGCCTGGGACCCCAGCTTCAATGGCTACAGTGTGCAAAGATTGTTTCTCCGCAATCGCTACCACACAGTGATGTCATCAGTAGAGAAATGCGTCAGGTCATATGGTCAGCCGACAAACAGTGGCAGTTGATGGAAACCTAACCGTCCAACGATACATAGATGCAATCCTTCGTGCTGTCGTCCTACCTTTCACAAAACAGCAACCCCATTATTTTATTCACAGAAAAGTGTTTGTTTGTTTGATGTTTAACGCAGCACTCAGCAATATTCCAGCTATATGACGGCGGTCTGTGAATAATGGAGTCTTGACCAGACATTCCAGTGATTGACATCATGAGCATCGATCCACGCAATTGGAATACGATGACATGCATCAACCAAGTCAGCGGGCCTGACCACCCGATCCCGTTAGTTGCCTATTACGACAAGCATATCACAAAAAGTGAATGGGATAGGGTACAAGGTCCCTAACTTAGGACACCTTCTCCCTGATATTTACACAGTTGATTTACATCTGGTACTAAACATGAACACAACCGAAGGAAAGGAAAGATTAGGAAAGATAAATGAAAAATGACAACAATATAGTTTACATAATTCTCTTTGTAATACGCATATAACTCTGTACCAATTGGAATTGTGTATATTGTCTTGTTCTGGTAAATCCCCATTTCCATTGAATATCAAATTGAGATCTGTTGGTGTATTTTCGGCTATGTTGCTTATATTTCTATATAAAGTGTCTCTTTCACCATTTAACAAGTCACATTCAAAGAAAAAAATATATACATTTTCACATTTACTACATCACAAACATTCTGCTGTGCCCTTAATTCCCTGTTTACGTAAATCATAATTTAACTGACTAACCTTACGTCTCAGCTTAGTACTACAATGCTCCCGTCGAGTTAAAAATATATAAAGGGTTTTGGCAGTATTTACCTGCTGGGCATGAAAAAAACAGAACTTGTGCACATCAGATAAAACACCATATTCGTCATTAAAATATATTGCTGAACAGTCTAAGTTAAAACGTAGGTCTGAGTACAGAGGATGGTTCAGTAAAATATGAAGCTCATCCTCAATACAACCATCGGAGCACATGTCTGGGCATATTCTAGGCAGCATAATGTTCTACACCAGGGGACTGTCGGTATCTCAGCTTCCTGCACGATACCCCCAGCAGGAGTTACGTCATCCCTTTATCTTCTGACGAGTGTGCACAGCGCTAGCGAATATTAAACAAATACTCAGCAATGAGTTGGCTTAAAACACTGGTTGGTGATAGTTACATCGATTATGATAGGATTACGTGTCACACATGGGGACAATCATTTATTTTAACCTCCTGATCAGATGACCAGAGCCTTCAATAATCTTTGTTGATGAAAGCATCACATTAAATAAAAAAACAAGCAATTAGTTATTCAGATATGCTTTAAAACTTCTAATACAGACCGATTTCTTTCATGTCGTTTAGGATGAAATGCCCGCTCGCACGGGAAAATAGATATTTTAGATTTACTATTTGATAATGTGAATCCCTTGCAATTGCAAAGTCCACGCAGTCAAGCAAAATCTTGTCATAGTAGCAGATATTCTGTGTGTATTATTCGTTACCGATTAATATATCGTTGTGGATAATGCTTCAGTCTGATTCACTGTCGAATGTCTCGAGAATTCAGTTTTCAGTTTATGATGCGTTTAGACGATGTCCACCACCTTCATCTATTTTGTACCCATAAGCAAGGTACATATGTACCTAGGTGTTCAGAGTCTGCTATGCCAGACTGGGTTTATCAAATTAGGTGATGTGGGTACGGAAGAGCCCACTCCTGAATGCGAAGGGGCACTGATCTAACGCAATCCCCGGGACTGGTTGTTGCCTTTGTTATTGTTTTTCCCCCAGTGAGTACCCGGATGATACGCAACGCAACTGAGCGTGACCAGAGACTGGGCTACCGTCTGCAAGGACAGTTTAATAAACTTGGAGGCTGGAGGCAATATTTGCTTTACGCATTTTTGCATAAACACTGATTGGTTAACTGTGATCCATAACGATTTCGACAAAGGGCGCATGTTAATTAATTTCTTCAGCCTAAACAAACAGACAAAAAGAACGGCGGAGCTCATCGGATGTCGTCATTTAGAAATACCCCAGATGGTTATAGTTTAATTCTAATAAAAAGTATCCATGCAGTGAAAGCATTTTCGGATTTCGGCTTGCGTCGATAATACGATTACTCCTCCCTTGTTGTCATCCACGTTTTCTCGTATAACCCTACACTTGTGTATTTGTCGTCATTCACTTGATGCTCAGTTAATGAATTTATTACAGGTACAGTTAGTGGTAGCACCACTTAGATTAACTGAGAAAAGTTCCCATTTGGCATTTATTGTGTCTGGGGTAATTATTCAATCTAAATCCAGGTTTGAAGTGAGGTGAAATGTGTGTTATCTAATATGCACGTGGCAGCCCAGCAAGAGATGAATGATCAGTTGATTTACTTTTTTTGTAAATCAACGGATCGTTCCTAGTCATCAAAGGATTAACAGAAAATACGTTGATTGATTAATCACTGTTATCTTGCACAGTGGATATGTCAAGAGTGAGTGTTTACATGTCTAGGTTTACTAAAACAAAGGGAATACACTCATATCATGGCGTGAAGTGCCGATGTAAAAACAACATACTTTGGTCAAAGGGTTAACTGATAATACGTTGATTGGTTGATCATTGTTATCAATCACTCAATGGATTTTTTAGGAACCGTGGACGTTATGAAAATAGTTGTCACGTGGGCTTTCTCAGCCGACCCTTGAGACTTGACACCTATGTGAAACACCTGAAACAATCCAAGTGATCAGTTCAGAAACGAACACGGGTTATTATATCCCAAAACGATATATATATTTTAAAATATTTGATTGTTACAGAGACACGTGACATCGAATACGTTTCGTTGTACAGCTGCAGACGAGTGGGATATTATTCCTTTGTGTGGATATTTACGGATACATTCCTCGAACAAGGAAGCTGCCTAAACTTTATACACATAAATTTGGTAGGTTGTAATTATGATATTTGCATTTTGTTTTCCTTCATTTGAACCGATTCGTTCTTGTTTCTCTACGTCTTGGTTTGGAAATTCTTCAATGCGCGATAGACGTTGTTTTCACAGGTCTTTTCTTTTGTAAGCGTGTATATATTACCGTCAATTTGTAAAATGTGATTCTCTCAGGCAATTTATAAAATGTGTAAATATTCCAGTCATTTTGACTAAAAAATCTGTCCAGATTGATTAAGACGATCAAAAGGGCCTACAAACATCACAACAGATTATTATGTAGGATTAGAAGCCAAACAACATAGAAATGTACTTTTCAACGTAACATTTTCAGTCTCTTCGTGATGACATTAAACATCAAAATGTTTGGAATTCGTTATCATAATAATACAGATGGAAATGTTTTTCAGTCACTTTGTAAAATAACTGAATATTTAGACGTTTAATAAATTTGTTACACATTTGACAGTAAAAAACATATACACACTTTAAAAAAAAGCAATGCTCAGGTGAAATATTTACTTTGTGATGCAAGTGAAAATAGTGTAAGCGAAAATCGCAAAATTACCAAGCAAGTGACTTATCAAAACTTCATCACCATTACCGATACTACCCACAAAGATACCGAAATTTCCTTATTATCTCGAAAACTGTATTTCAATTTGTTGATCAATGTGACCATACGCCCTTATTACTACCCGTAAAAGTGACTAATGCGCTTACGAATGGCGCAGCAGAGGTCGCGAACTAGTCTAGATTTCCGCTATACATCCGGGTACTCATTCGGAAAAAACAATAACAAAGGCAACAACCAGTCCCGGGGAATTGCGTTAGATCAGTGCCCCTTTAAGGGGTTACCAAAAACGGAACCCCCAAAAGGATGGTAGTAATACTGGTTTATTCACACCATTATTTGCCATGGTATACTTGTTCGTATGGACAATGAGTTGTTTCCTACTTCCACGTATTTATATGTTGATACGTTTGTTCAGGATAAATGTTTCTCCCCAATCACCAAGTAGATGAGACACATGATCAATATAGTCCATCATTCTGAGATTGTCACTGTCTGGAGTTTGTCTGAAGGTTGTTGGCGATTGCTAGGTAAATTAAATGTAAGTATTGGGCAGTGGTCACTTCCCCAGGGAGTCATTATGAACATCCCTGCTAAGTTTTTGTGATAAATTAGTTGTTATAAATCAAGGGTACACTGCTGTTGGGTTTGGGTGTTGATGCCGGGGGGTAGAGTTGGTTATCATGTAAACAGATTAGGTTCTTGCTGTCAAGCCTATCTATTATACGATTAACATATTAATCAGTGTATTTTTTGTGTGCCCCAGAGCGGGTGATGTGCATTGAGGTCTCTTATAAAAAGGATGTTGGGGGTTATACATTTACAATACAAAAACAGAAATTATGTGAACACCAAACTCACAATAGATATGTGTACCCTACTCACACACAGGAGTCCCAAAGAGGGACAGGTCAGCCGAAATTGCCTAGGCAGA